GACCCCACGGCCAACGGCACCCAGCTCAGCCCCCCCAAGCCCTGACCTCCAGAGAAGCCCCCCACCTCTCTCTGACACTCCTGCACGTTCCTGTCCTGTCCCATCCCTGTCTCCTGTTGACTCTCCTCCTGTGCTGGCAGGAGTTTGGGGCACCTTTTATCCCTCCTCAGGCTCTGGTCCCTCCCCAGCAGTGACAGGGGCTGTTTTTTAGCTTTTGGCCCATGCTGAGCCACTACCAAGCTCCAGGGGTGAAGACAAATGGGTCACCTCCAAGCCTGAGCTGAATGGAGAAGGGTTGATGAGCCAAGTTAAACCCTTCAGGCATCTCAGAAACATCTGCACAGCCAGTCCTGCAATGAGCCTACAAGTTCTTGACAGTTGCCTTTCCAACACGTGGCAAGGTAGACACAAGTCCCCAGCACCAGGGCAGTGTGGAAAGCGGAAGAAGATGTTTGTGTGTGGGTGTAGGGATCCTCACCAAGGCTGACCACAGGGAATTACCTCCATCCCAGTGTGGTCTCCCTGAGGAGAAGGTCCCCACTGCTTACGCCTTATCTAGCTTCTCCCTTTCATGTCTAATCCTGCCTCCCTTTTAGGCACCACACCTAACCCTGGGAGCTCCCCTCCCCACCCCCCCCAGTTTTGTGAAGGTTAAAATCCCCATCTACTCCTGTTCTGGGCTGTGAGGTTGCAGAGCAATTTCTTTCCTGCTCCCCACAGCTCTCATCCCCCTCAGTGCCTCTTGCTGTCATCCCCCATTTCATTTCAAGCCAGTGGTTCCTCAGGGCTGGTGCCCCTGTGAACGAGTTGAGCTTGAATCCATAGAATGCAGTTTTACACCTCACTTGGACGTGCCAAGTTGGGGAGGGTTAATAAATTACATACCTCATTCCTAAGCGTGGGGAGTGCTTGGTTTCTTGGCTGTTCCCAAAGAAGCCAGACCTGGCAGGAGGGACATGAGGGCCATTGTAGCTGTGTCTCTGGGTGGCGGGTGGGACTGGTCTTGCTCAACAGAGGCTTTGCGGTAGATATACTTGACCTGGACGTGATGGAACCATGATGCCCCTCCCTAAGCTCATCAGTTTGCTTTCCCATCAAAACTTTGGCCCTTAAACCACAGCTCCTGTGAAGGATGGGAACTGAAACAGGACATTTTGTGGCTAAAGCACCAAAGGTAGATGTCCAAGGTATTGCTGGATCACCTTTTCCTGTGATGTGTCCCTGAAAATGCTGTCTTTGTTGGCTGGAAGGATGCCCAGTGTCAACACATACCGTTGCAGGCAGGGCTCTTGACAAGTTGTACTGGTTGCTACATACTCTCCCACCTCAACACCATCTCAAACTCCTTAACCTTGCTAGAGCAGGTGCCTTTGAGACCCTGCAGCCCACCCTGCACAGAATAGGGTTGCTGTGCTATCCTCTCTGCTCAATGAGGTTTGAGCCCCTTACTCCAGGGGTCCCCTCGGAGGTGAGCAGGTCTCTTTCAAGGACCCTGTGACACCTTGTTGGGGTGCTCACAGCATCGTTGTCATGGTTTGGGGAGTGAGTGAGGCTGAACTCTGTGCTTTGGGGATTGCCTGCTGCACCCTCCCACCTCCTCACAAGCTCCCTGGGTGGGAGCCAGGCATCTGACACCTTCCTCTCCCCCCCCTTGCTCCTTTTCTACCCTAGCACAGAAAGCACCTGGAGGGGATCTCTGCCTTCATCTCCCGCCCCAACAGCCACCCAGAGTTCTTGGTTGCCTAAAACCTCACTGCATCCACTGCCCACTAATCAAACACGATTAAACCGACGCTGCTTTAATCGTATTTGATCCCTGTCTGGCATATCACGCGACGTCACCGACCTGGGTGACAGTGGAGGCACCGCGGGCAGATCCCAGTCGGTTTTGGTTTGAAGACAGCAGGGAGCCTGAGGTGCAATTCCTGCCGGTTCCCAGCTCCGGGCGGGGTGCTGGGCGTGCTCAAGGGTTGCATGTCTGAGCCCGGCAGACAGGCTGTGCCGGTGGGTGTACACGCTGGGTGAAGGGGTGCCCGAAGAAGAGCCTTGTGCCTTCTCTTACAGCCCATCCCAAACCATCCCCAGTCTCCGAGGCACCCCTGCTGTCTTGGTAAGCCCTAAAATCTTTTGGCAGCTCTGGGCTGTGGGTGGAGCTGGGTTTCAGCAGCTGTTTACACAGCCCTGCCCCGGGCTTCCTGGAGATGTCTTGGCAGGGAAGGGGCTGCGGCCGAGGTGGGAGATGACAGCCCTGGGAGGACGACAGGAGGTGGCTTCATTTATTTGCTTGTTTTTGTTTCCTTCTTTGACATAAGTAGGGTGCCCTGGGGGTGAACTGAACTCTTCTTCTTCTTCACGGTGGCTTCTTCCCTCTTCTCTCATCCCCACAGGATAGCCCTGCCCCTGCAGCTCCACAGTCCTCTCCACCCTGACGTGATGGTGAAGCGGGTCAG